GTACATTCTTGTAATTGGTTCCAAAGGATGCTTCTTGTGTCTTGGAGAAAAACATTTTGAAGTCAGTGCTGCAGGGGCAGTGGATGATTTACTGTGTCTCTCTTAACCAGAGTCCCTCACCAAATGACCTTTCCCTGCATGGGACTGGTAAGAGTGATGCTCATAGGATTCCTTGGAGCGCCATCTGCTGGAGATAAGATGAGCCTTCTGAGAAGAGCCTGGAGTGGAGGTGTCTTCTGGGCCTGGATCTCCTGGATCCGGAAGCCATCAGAGGAGCGGCAGCAGAACCAGAGCCACAGCATGGGACAGTGTAACGGGCTATCCAACTCTCAGGGTAAGTAAAGGTGAGTGGTGGTGTGCAGAAGACTGGCCTGTGCAGTCCGGGGCCTCTGGGCACCCCATTGGGGAAGTTGGATTTGCCGACCCACGGAAGTGCCATGCCTCCGAGCTGAGGCTTACCAGAGGGAGCCGGGTTTGCTGAGCTGTGGAGTTTAAGCAAAATGCCTTCAGGCTGAGGCTAGTAGTATGCGCTTTGGGCATTTAATAGGAGACTCTAGTGTACCGAGAATTTTTCAGTCGTTACAACTTAACTTCCCTCATAAATTTTGTCTGAGTTCTGCTCAGCCAATACAATGAAACTCGAGTGGATATCTCTCCCAGTCATTGGAACTGTGGAACAAGGTTATAAGAAACTGCCCAACATAAAACAAGCTTTGAGACGCAGCTGAGAGGGCAGGTTGGCTCTATGGTGACTGCCATTGGATTCCCACGAGGTCATCCTGTTAGACCGTCTTAAAGGGCACACGACAACCAGAGGGGCTCATCAGGAAGTTGTTTTGAGAAAATGGAAAATTAGAACGGGGAGAAAAAAAGCCAAGTTGCACTGAAGTATTTTTTCCCATCACAATGTAATTGCTCATCCATGGGTGGGAGTGAAAGGCTGTCCTATGGGAATCTCATTGGGAAATCTTACCCAACAGCCTCAGATTTGGCCCCTTTAGACCTTTCTGCTCCCCAAACCCCCAGGAACACTGAGAAGCAATGTGACTGTGCAGTGCCTTGGAAAGTGGACTATGGCAGACGTAGTTAAAACTCCTAGCACCTTACCTCTTGACCTCCTGTTTGGCCCATTTTAGTTCTGGTTTATAATGTTTTCAACTTTCTCTTTGA